TTTGGGGTCGATGGATTTGTCTCTGATTAAGAGGATGGTCTAAGGCTCAAGTGGTGGCATATCCACTGATAATAGCTTTCGGTTGGTGATTGGCATAGAGGGTGGTTTTTATACTCTGAAACTAAGCTAAGATTCACCTGGTGAGCTTGTTAATGCTGGTGCTCAGACTCTACTCTGAGATGCTGATTCAGTGGGTTAGGGCTGGGCCCAAAATCTGAAATTTTAAATAAACATTGCAAATTTTTCTGATGTGGGAGGTGCCCCACAAAACTTTTAGAAACACAAAAGGTGATATCTCTTTTGGTGCCTGCTAGACAGTGTCACCTCTATGGTGTGGCAGGCTGACCCTGCCTGACCATTTCCTGCTGGAACGAGTTAGTTCCTGACTGCAACCCCCATCCCAGGACTCTGTGGCTGACGTGGCAATCCAAAAACCCGCTTAAACGATTAAGCGGGTTTCCTTATAGTTTGGCGGTCAATTAATGTTCTCCTTATGTTCTACTTTTCCTTATATGGAATATCTATAGCTGTGTAGGAATGTGGAAGTACAAGGCTGTATGAAACTGCTCACCATGTTACAATCAGGGCTCAGCTTTTGGATAAAAATCTGCTGAGCCAGTGCCGGCATCAATAAACACTGTTTCTTGCTTATAGCCTCAGTGTCCCATCTCTCTGTTCGAGAATCCTGCAACAATGGTTTCCTAGGAGATGGTCCTCAACACTCTGTCCACCACTGAAGATGCCAGAGTCTCTGAGATAATAATCCCCTCAACAAGGAAACTGTTCTCTCCACCACTGCTTTAGCCCTAAAGACTTCGTATATTGCTTTGCATTTAAAGAAAAGTTTAATCTTTATTTTCATTAAATATTAACCTATCTTAGCCAATGGAGTTAAACTTTAGGATAAAGGATAACTATGCATATATCTGAGCAGACACTGGCCCATCTTTAGGCAAGCATCTGGGTTACCTAAAAGTCAGCAGTGGCTCTCATCAAATAAATTAACTGATTCATTCAATTAAATATAATTTGTTAGGCATCGTGTATATATGGTGCTGCAAAGACAGTGCTAACAACCTTTAATAACCACTGGGATTGCCATATCTAACAATGATTAACACAGATGGATAAATACTAACTTTGTTTTCTTGCTGTTTTTCAAACTAAACAGAGTAACTTGTCAAAGCTTGCCTGCCACATAAATACCTTCTAATGGATTTTATTTATTGGGTTTTATTTATTGGGTTTTAGTCATTGTTTTATTTATTGGGTTTAGCAGAAACAGGAGAAATTTCAGATTTGCCTAAGTAACAGGTATCTTTCAAAATGGGAATGTAGCATATACATACGAAATCATCACAGAATTTTAAAAGGAAAGGATCATCGAGATTGAATATATTCACCTTCCGGCCCCACTTCACAGAGTGCAAACCCAAGGTCCACATAGATGGTATAGCCCAGTAAATACATGGCAGAGCTGGGACTAGAACCTAAGGCTTCTGACTCCCAGTGGAGAGATCTGCTAAACCCTCCAGTCTCTCCACTTGGAAGAGAGGCTGATTGGTGTGAATGGGAACAGGAATTGTGACTGGTGTGATTTAGCTGCTCCCGAAGGGGAACTTTTTCTAGCTTGTACCAGTATCTCCTGTGTTCAAAATAAGGGGTGATAGTCTTGCTCCTCACTAGGCTTGCTGGACCATCCATGAGCTATCTGTGGGTCTCAAGGCTGGATGTCAGGGACCCTGACAAACGGGGGCATGTCCAGTGGGGCACTGCAGATGAAAAGGTACCTGGAAACTATGCCACATGAAGAAGAGAAGGAATTAAGAACTTGAGAAAGATTTAAGGAAGTACTGACAGCTGTCTTTAAGTGCTTTAAAAGCCTTCGTGGAGACATTTATGGGGTACCATGTTGCTTGTGGACCAGACTGTGAAGTTAGGGAAGCATGACATTTTTTTGTAGGGTCAGTGTGGTTCAGTCTTATCTCTCACCAGACCATCCCAAGATGGTCGGCCCTCCACCAGGCATGCCGTGCACTACTGTGTGGGGAGTTCTCAGTCGCTGTTATCGAAGTGAAGTAGAGTCATAGCTGTGCCAGATTACTAGGCTCCCCAATCTCATTTATTCAGCATCTTTACTGCCTGTTGGAAGACTTAATTGCTAACCAGCTTAGAACTCAATTCGATAACAAATTCTCCATAGACCAGAGGCTATGCTCCAGCCAAAGATGTATTAATCAGTGAGAAAGAACTGAAAAACAGAGGCGAAGACAGCAGGAAGTTCCATTACCTTACTAATGTGAAACTCCAGGCGTCTCATGTATCTTTCAATCGTTTTAATTTGCTGGAATTAAAAGAAGAAGTTTGAAAAAGTACAGCCATTTACAGTTCAATTGACCTAGATGTGTGAGAGTACCTTTATCATCTCATACTCAAAAATATGCTACCAGAAAAGGCTAAATATTTCCCTTCTCTTCCTATCTTTGTTGCTATTTTAGAGATTTCTAGCATCGATTTGAAAAGTATTTTTTAAAAATATTGAATAAGTATTCTGAGAGATGAACTTGAGTTAGTTGTTGGAACCTTATGTTTTGTATCAAAGGAGGCCTATCAAATGGGATGCACTGGATTTCTGGCAGGACAGTATTATATTGGAGTGTAAGTAAATTCCTTCATAATAACATATTTCATCAGCTCGAAGATGAACTTTTTTCCTTCCACATTTTAGTGTCTCTGAAATTGAGGTGCATTTTACAATTGCTACTGCCTGTGCATGCTCAAAGATAATCACAGTTGTTTATGTGTCATCTCTTCATTTGAGTTATAAATATTATTATTACATGCATTAAATTTAATTATCCTTTCAAATGCCTGCAAACAGATTATACTGTGATTCAGCATTAAAGGTATTGTATATAGAGAAAGGCATGGAAAGAGACAGCATCATATATAACTAAGAAAAAAATTACATTTAGTAGGACTAAAAGAGTTTTGTCACTAAATATAAAACACAAATTTTAAGTGAAAAGAAAGAACTAAAGAACTGTGTCATAGTTTAATTGGAATCATGTTTTTCTTAGTGGCACATAAAAGAACGGTTTGTTTTCCAATCAAAGATGTCTTGATTTGATGATATATGACAGTTAATAATTAGAGAGAAGACAGGGAAGGATGTCCAAGCACTTGCAAAGTTCTTAAACTTCTCAGTACACTGAGACACCTTACAACAAGGTGGCATTTTTACGAAAGTGACCTTAAACACGTTATTGGATCTGTAGATCATAGTACTTAATTATCAAACTCATTAGATAAAAGCTTGAACTTTCCTGAGATTAGAAAAATCATTAGTTCTCTAGGATCTTACTGTACCTAAGAGGGGGGCACTGGTCAAGGACACAGGGTGTCTTTATTATTATTTTGTAGTAATTATCCCAATGCAGAACAATAACTTACCTTGTCTAGGTCATACAGCACACCCTAAAATAAAAAAAAGGAATATCTGGATTAAAACATGTGTTCTTCAAAATTGTTACTGATATTAACAGAGAAATTTAGTCTGTATTTCTGCATGGTCAGTGAAATAATGATCAGTTTCGTAAAGTTCTGCTGGGTCCTTTGACATGTAAAGCTCCCGGTTATTTTAAATACCAGTAAAAGTACTTTTAAGAGTCCCTATTTATTTATACCCCATGTCTCTGGAATTCCACCGAGTCCTCTCTGCCCCTTGGGAGCACTAAGCCTTTCATAGCTTCGAGCTCTCCTTTCTTATACGTTGAGGGGCAGGCACATATACATTCGTGTTCATTCTTTAATTTTTAAAAAATAACTGGTATAACCATAAAATGTAGCAATGATATGTGTGTTAAAAACTACTTGCCTTCCTGTTTAAACATGTAAAATTGGTATTCAAGAAGAGTCCTTGAGGGCGGTAATACGCTTTTCACAAAATGTTTTTAAAGCAAGTTCATTTCCACAGTAGAATTGTGCTCACAGTACCACAGTAGAATTGGTACACTATTCCCATATCCCCCAAGGAAAGGCTTTTTGTGGAATGCTAGATCCTAGTGGAAGCCTCTCCTACCACTTGCTATTATTCTCCAAGGAACAACACTGGCTGCCATTGAAGTGCTCAAGGGCATTCAAAAACTTTGAAGGCCATTTGGCAGGAGTTCCATGTAGAGGGGGGCCTTTATACTCTAACATCGTTCGAATGTAAAACCCTTAACTTCTATGAAGGTTGTAACCTCTAGGCTCTGAAAAGAACAGCAGTGTGCATGTTAGCCCATCTATCTATGGAAAGCTATACCTCCTGGGTATATGTAGACCCTCCCTGGGCTTTCTGATGCCCTGAAACATTAAGGTGTGTTATCATTTAGAACTGAACAAAATCATTTAAAATAGTGTATAAATTAGAAACACCTCCCTAACCAGACAAGTTGTCACAATTCATTAGAATAGAAGAAATTTGCAAGCACCTCAAACAATACAATGTGTAGTTGAACTGGCTCAAGGACTTCGCCAGCTTCTCCTAACAGTTACCTCTTGAGCTTCCCTTCCTTCTCCCATATCACTACCTTTTAATTTTTAAACTATCAGAGATAACAGTTCTGGATTCCAAATTATGTACTCATAATATGCTAGGGAAATTCCAACTTTTCATTTCCTTTTGTTATTCAAGGGAGGGAGTGATAAGGAGTGTGTTTTTTCTGATTATAAAGTTGATTTGTATAAACGTGCTTAGAAAATACTTAAATGTTTTAAGTATAAAGCATTAAAATACACAGCAGGAAGCAGATAGTACTTCACCCCTTGGATCTGCTCTTCTTGACGGTTCTTCCTCATTCCCATCCCCATCTAGTAGGAGAAGATACTTAGCCAAAAAAAAAAAAAATCATGTTAACATTCTGATGATTGGATGGTACCTACCAGGCGAGAGTTTCTTTTCATATCTTTTAATTGAGCTGTCAACTTGTCTAACTCTGTCTGGTGACCCTCCAGATATTCACTGCAAAGACAAGACAAGGTGTAATCATTAACTCTGTCAAGTGGAATCTGGTGATGTTGCCCTTCTGAAGGGGGATTAAGAGTCCGAACCTTGCTCTGTGGAGGGCAGAGTTGGGGAGAAGAGATGCTGTATTTCCCCAATCTCTCAACATTTTGAAAGCTTTAGCAATTGTATCTGACACTATCCAGCTGGTCAAACAGGAGAACCCCTATGAGGCTGGAAGCCCAGAACAGAAGAACCAGTGGGGAAGGAAAGGCCAGACGACTATGGAGTCTGCCCTGGGCCTAGGCCCACAGAACTCTGTCTAGTTTAATATAATACCAACTGTAGATGTGTCATCACACATTGGGGAAGTTTTATTCTGGGTAAACAGTCCCTATAATATACTTGTGAAGGTTTCACAATCCTTCTTCAGCAGTCTTTTAAATAGATCTGCCTGCCCACCATGGTTTAAGTAGAAGGCAATGCCATATAGGTTTCCATACAAACACTACTATTTCAAGTCTCCTGCAATGTCACAGACACCAAGTAGAAACCCAACACATTTCACATTTTCTGGACTTTTTTAAGGCTTCCTTGATGATGGTGCAAGAATAAAATATCTAGTACAGAAACAGACATTTAGAAATGATCTCATAAGATTTCTTTTACCCATCCCACCTCCCCAACATTTTAGAAAAGAAGAATGTTCAGTGCATTGTTAGTTTGATATTCTTACTTGAGTCCACTTTTCAAGGCCCTGTAGACCTCTTCCACTCTGTTGGGCTGAGGCTCTTTGGGAGGGCTGTTGTTTTTGTGTCCTAAATTGTGCATTTTCTTCAGTTTGGCCTGTGGCTTCTTGAGAGCAGAGGAATTTTCAATGAAGGAGTTACATCTATGGAAAGAGAAAAGAAAAGCAGAAATTTTGAGTCTAGGGCATCTAAAAAGATTTGACAAAATAAATGCCTTTTAATCATCTTGTGTTTGTATGTGTGTGTTTTGGGGAAGGTATATTAATAGATCTGAGCCATCCTACATTTAGTTTCTTGGTATTAGATTAAACTGCTGAAATCTGGAAGTTTTGCTGGGCAGAGGCTTCCCCAAGTCTAAGAAGGTAACGTGCTTCAGGTAACGTGCGCTCTGAGTGAAAACGTATCTTGCCATTGAAGTCAAGGACAAACACTCCCAGGTGCAAATAATGAGCAGGCAAAAGGATATAAAGCAACTAAAAATATATGCAAATGAATACTTTTTTGATAACGGGCCATAAGCATGACAAATGGCTAATTTCTTATACTGTTAAAGTAAAGAAAAACACATAGAGTTGGACTGACAGCTTTTTCTTAAGCTTTATTTTTAATGCTGTAAATTGTGTGTAGATATTACATAAAACTCAACATCTCTGTTTGGCAGAAGCCAGCAGTGGTGAGATGTGATACCTGATGATACCAAACTACTGATCTGACTAGGAGACCAAGAGGTCAAACCACTCTCTGACTCAGCTATCAACTATGACCTCTGAGTTGTCGGGTATGTGTTGTGCACCTTCCAGGTTAATTATTAGTTATTTTCTTCTGCTATCACTACGTGCATCATAGTGGACAATGCAGGTCAAAGCACATTAGGCCCCTCAGAGCATAAGACCTTTGTAATGTTAGAAAAACTGAAGACAAACTTTACTCCATGTTACCTATTTCACTACCTATGATTTCTTTCTTGAGTTCCTCTAAGTCTTATTTTAGATGAGAAGAAATTCCAGGGAAACTACAAGACTAACTTTCCCATGTCTGAATGACATCTGCTCCCTGGGAGTCAATCTGCAAAGGCAGACTTTATACACTGCATAACTTCATACCAAACAGTCTCCCAGATCGGGATGCAATGAAAACGTGCTTCAAAAAGGGGTGGAATTTCAAACTGTATTACAAAGCTATTGCAATTAAAATAGCATAGCAGTGGCATAGAAACAGACACATAGCTCAATGGAACAGAACTGAGAGCTCAGAAGTAAATCTACGCATATGTGGTCAATTACCACAATGGAGCCAGGAATATACAATGAAGAAGGATAGTCTCTTCAGTAAATGGCATTGGGAAAACTGTTACTAAAGAATGAAGCTTGCAAAAGAATAAAGCTTGGCTACTATCTTATACCATACGCAAAGATTAAATCAAAATTAAAGACTTGCACATAAGACCTGAAACCATAAGACTCCTAAAAGAAAACAAAGGCGGTAAACTGCTTGACACAGGTCTTGGCGATGATTTTTTTTGAATCTGACACCAAAAGTAAAAGCAACAAAAGCAAAAATAAACAAGTGGGACTACATCAAACTAAAAAGCTTCTGCACAGCAAAGAAAAACCATCAACGACATAAAAAGGCAACCTATTGAATGGGAGAAAATATTTGCAAATCATGTACCTGATAAGGAGTTTATATCCATAATACATAATGAGCTCATAGAACTCAATAGCAAAAAAGCGAACAATTTGATTAAAAAAGGGTAGAGGACCTCAGTAGACATTTTCTCAAAGAAAACACAGAGATGGCCAACAGGTACATAAAAAGGTGCTCAACATCACTAATTGCAGGGAAATGCAAACCAAAACCAAAGTGAGATAACCACCTCCCACCTGTTAGAATGGCCATTTTCTTAAAGACAAGGAGTAACAAGTGTTGGAAAGGATGTGGAGAATAAGAAAACCCTTGTGCACTGTTGGTGGGAATATAAATTGGTACAGCCATTATGGAAAATAGTATGGAGATTCCTCAAAAAATTAAAAAGAGAACTCCCATATGAGCCAGGATTCCCACTTCTGGGTATTTGTTCAAAAATGAAAACAGTAACTTGAAGATCTAGGCACTATGTTCACTGCAGCATTGTTTAAACCAGCCAAGATATGTAAGCAACCTAAATGTCCATCAATGGATGAATAGATAAAGAAACTGTGGTGTGTATATACAATGAAACATTATTCAGCCATAAACAGAATGAAATCTTGCCATTTGTGACAACATGGATGAACCTTGAGGGCATTATACTGAGATAAGTCAGAGAAAGGCAAATACCTGTGATCTCTTATACAGGGAATCTAAACAAAACAAAAAACCGCAGAAACTCATAGATACGAAGAACAGACTGGTGGCTGCCAGAGGTGTGGGTGGGCAGTGGACTAAACGGGTGAAGGAGGTCAAAAGGTAAAAAGAAAAAAAAAGGTAGCAATTCAAACAAGTAAGAAAAGGACAAGCATGTACGGTGTTGCAAAGGATATATTAAAAAAGCCTCTATCGTTCTCTAAGAAAAAATGCAAATATCTACCTCCGAAATAGGCAGTAGACATGCCTTAACTGGTTATTCCCAAAATAAATACAAAGGAAAAAAACTTATGAAAGGACATTTAACCTTATTAGAGATGACAAGATACTAGAAAAGATTTTTAGAAAATGCTTGGTTATCAATAAATGTGTGGAAAAAGCAAATCTGTTGTTGCTGGTTAGAGGATAAATGGGTTCTAATATGTGGAGGCACTTTGACAATACTTATCAAAAGACCTAAAAAAAGGTGGGGGGGATTAGGGGTAGGGGTAGGAAGAGCTATCCACATATATTGGTAGCTTATCCTAAGTCTTCAGCCATCTTTTTTGTAGGAGGAGTTCTAAATGATAGAAAAGAAACCACAGAACTTCATTTTGGTATATTGCATCCTTTTCATCAAAGAGATTAAAATAACATGTGCGTGTGTTGACAAGGCCGCCTGCACACACTGATCCTCTTTATAGTGTTAAGGCTCACATCCTTCTCAAGCTGCATCCCAGGAAAGACCCACACACGACTTGCCTGGATCGCCGCTCCTGAAGGCCGCTGAACCCCGCGAATGACTGGCTTCTAATGATGCCATTGGGCCCTCCCGGGGAGGAGGACTGGGATCCTACCAACATGATTTCTGGGAGTCGGGCTGGTAGTCCTGAAAGACAGGGGCAAGATAATGGCAAATTACAGGCAGGTTCAGACAAAACACACTAAGCTTGTCAACAATGAGAAAAAGTGTGGCACGAGGTCAGATGAGGTGAGTCATGAGGCCGTTAGATGCTTGTAAAGCTTCTTTCTGCCACGTTCTTCCTAAGCCAAAGGGTTCAGCTCTCAGGTGAAGAAGAAAAGATACCTACCTCCTGAGATATAAATAAAAATAAGTTACACACAATTATCAGTCATGTTAGGACTCCTTCAGGGATTAAAAAAAAAGGTTCGACTATGCCTTCAAAAAAACATGAAAACTTTTTAATATTTGCTTCCATTCAACAACAGCAAAAACAAAGAAATAGGCCAAGTCAAAGTTTCAGCCAGGTCCTGCATCACAATGAAAACACAGTCAGGACGTAGGGTACAATTCTACACTTAGAAGTCATAAAACTAAAAACATGAGGTTTCTTTAGAGATGAACTTACTTAAACTTTTTCTCCCTTTTTCTGCCCTTATGTATCCTTGCAAAGATAGATCATGTCGCTATTGTGGCAGTGGAAAATAAGAAGAGAGCTCTCACGAATGCAGTGATAATCTAGGTTAAAAACCCCAGAGAAGAGACAAGAAAGGAAAATGCAGCAAAAAGCGTACCCCAGTTCAGTCACTTGCTCTCTTCCCTAAAAACTTAACACGACTGACCAAGATACACTATCAAACACAACTTCAGCTGGACAGAAGCCCCAGGTTATTTCCCCTAGAGTAGTGGTCCCCAATCTTTTTGGCACTGGGGACTGGTGCTCCTATGAGAATCTAATGCCTGATGATCTGAGGTGGAGCTGAGGCGGTGATGCTAGTGCTGGGGAGTGGCTACAAATACAGGTAAGTTTTGCTGGCTAGCCCACCACTCACCTCCTGCTGTGAGACCCGGTTCCTAACAGGCCATGGACTGGTACCAGTCCTTGGCCCGGGGGTTGGGAACCCCTGCTTTAGGGGACTGCCCTAGGAAGAGTCAGAGCACATACCATTGTCTTAGCAGGTGACCTCAGTCCAGAGAAGGGGAGGGCTTGCAGGAGAAAGGAGAGGCAGCTACAGTCCAGATTGAAGACTTCCAAAGTGATCAGACAGCACGTTGGTGAGTTCAAAGGGCATCAACAATTGCCCTTTAAAGACCCAGCCAGCAAGAAAAGCTGAGAAACGACAGCAGCAGAATTCTGGTAGTCCATCCGGAAGCGATGAAGAGCCACCTTCACTAGACCCCACTCAAAGCTATTCAAAGTGGCTCTGCAAAGGGAGGAGGTCCGAGTGAGTCCTTTCCCAGAGAGGACAAGTGGCCTCCTTCCCCATGCCGCTGCAGGGCTTTAAGTCCCCTCCCTCCCTTCTCACTTCCCTCCACACTCCCTCCAGAAGAAAGCAGCTCTGAGGTTTCTATGCATTCTTGTAGGGGACAGGTGCTGACTCACTGGCCATAGGCGACAGGCTTGCTCTTTCCTCTGGGTAGGACAGGAATCCCACCCCATCTAGTATGGATAGGGTAGGAGTGTGGGGAGGAAGGGTAGCTTAAGTTTTGGAGCATTCTCTAGAAGTTTTAAGGTAATAAAGTAGAAGTATGTACATGCAGTAAAATTATTATCCAGTGTGGGTGGGGGGCAGGTGGGAATGGCAAGATAAAAATGCAGTTGCAAATAAGGCTCTCTGGTTACTTCTCCCCACTCCCAAACCTCAAAAATAACCACAATTCACTTAAATCTTTAGTGAGGTTCTCCTAAATGCTCTGCTGCTTACTAAAGGAAAATACTTATATTTGTGCCTTGCTATCTTTGTGTCACATGCAAACTTGTAATATCAAGAAAACACCATAGTTCATATTCTTTCTGTGCTCAATAATTATATAACCAAAACCCGACATTAAAGTCTCAATTTGGAAAATTTTATTAGTATTGTATCTCACTTTCTACGTTATTGTTCAATAGGTCTACTACATATTGGAACTCTTCGATCACAGGAAAGACAAAATATTTGAAATATTTTAACTGTATGATTGTCTTGAATTTCTAGAAAACATATTTTTTAAATCAAAAGCTTTTTTCCCCCCCCCCTCTAATCCATTGGATCACTAGTTTCGACTCCAGTACTGATGACCAGCTCCCACTCCCAGGCATTCTGATTTAATTACTATGGAATTTGACCTGGCTATTGGGATTTCTAAAAGGTCTCCAGGTGATTCTGATGCTCAGCAAAGAAAAAAAATGATGCTGAGTTGGTTGACACTTTTAAAATTTAGTTAAAATAATCTGCTACAATTTCTCAAATCCAGCTTTTAAAATATCCTATTCTGTCATAAATAAGCCTGTTTTTGCAAAGTTTAATGTTTTGTTAAATTATTCAAACACGAGAGAGTAAAACACATGAGCCAGATTGTGCAATAATTTTTCTTCTTTTTCTGTAATAGGTAAGAAAGCTTCTTGAGAACAAAACAAAAGTCAGTCCTGGATTCTTTAAGATTGTAAAATGCTTTGGGGTGAGTAAAACCTCAGAAGCTTTTCATTATTTACACGTTGAATGGATGACCACTAGGAACGTGTCTGGGTAAGCGTTTTTAATGTTCTGTTTTCTTTTTGGTCTTAGAAATGATGATTATCAGTCAGGAAAGAATTTGGAGAAGAGCTGGTTTACGCTGAGATCTCTATCCTGCTGTCAACTGCCCTAAAGGCTGACGCAGGGCCCAAAGAGAGTCATAAAACAAGTGAGCAAGCCCGCTCCCCATGGGAAGTTAGGGTCTTGGAGAAAGGAAGGAGTAGGCTGGGATGGAGTAGAGCTCAGGTATCAGGGACAAGAGCATATAAAACACCTCCCCACCTCTAACTCTGAAATGGGGGAGGGGAGTACTTTGCTGCTAGTCCTCCAGCTTCCTCAGCCCTTCCCCAGTTCCAAGTTCTTTTGCAACTCTCTGTGATCAGCTTTTTGAGGACTCCACTCCCACCTCTTGGCACCCTAAGTCTTCAGGCAGCTCCGTGGCTTCCTAGAAGCCCCACAGACCTGATCTTTACTCATCTTCCAGCAAAACCTCCACAGAAGCCACAATACTCATTTTCAAGCTTTAAGGAATTAGAACCAGTTACTCCCACCAGATTCATTTGCATTTTAATTGCAGATGCTCTTTGGGACCAAAAGCCTTCACCTAAAGGACTACAGCTCCTCTTCCCGTATGTAAGTGGCCTGAGATGACCTTCAAAAACTGTTCCCTATTTACTTGACCCAGAAAACCTCACGAAATCACACAAATCAAGAGGTTCAAATCTTTGTGCTCACTTTAAGAAGACTTGTGTAACTGCCCAGGCCATCAAGGGTATGTCTATCTGAAAATCCACCAAGTATCTGAAGGATGTCACTTTACAGAAGCAATGTGTGCCATTCTGTCATTACAATGGTGGAGTTGGTCAGTGTGCCCAGGCCAAACAATGGGGCTGGACACAGGGTCGGTGGCTTAAAAAGAATGCTGAAGTTTTGCTGCACATGCTTAAAAATGCGGAGAGTAGTGCTGAACTTAAGGGTTTAGATGTAGATTCTCTGGTCGCTTCTGGTCGTTGAGCACATCCAGGTGAATCAAGCTCCCAAGATGTGGCACAGAACTTAGAGAGCTCGTGGGTGGGTTAACCCCTCCTACATGAGCTCTCCCTGCCACACTGAGATGATCCTTACTGAAAAAGAGCAAATTGTTCCTAAACCAGAAGAGGAAGTTGCACAGAAGAAAAAGATATCCCAGAAGAAAACTGAAGAAACAAAAACTTATGGCCCAGGAGTAAATTTAGCATCAAAAAATGCTAATAAAAGTAAAAACATAAACAAATAAATAAAGAAAGGACTACAGTAGAACTGCAGTATCTCTGGTGGTAGAGGGCGTGTAAGGTGGTACCCGAAGTTTGCAGGACAATTTGGCAATATCAGTTTAAAATGTAAAAGATTATTGATTCTTTAAGGCATCACAGCTACTCTTTGGTATATCCTGTAGAGTTAAACTCAAGTTCACAAAGGCATACAGAGGGATGTTCATGGCAGGCAACATTATAGGGAAAGTGGAAATGATACATTAATCGTTACAGAAATGGCTAATACATTATGACATAACCATGGGATAGAATAGTGTGTAGCAGTTAAAAATAATATGCCCATATAGAAAGACCCCCAGGACGAACTACAAACAAAACAGAGTACGATGTCAACATGTTTAAAAAAATATATATATGTATATATATATGGTCCATGAATAGAAAAGTTCTAAAAGTATACACTGACAGACTCTCTGCAGAGATGGGAATGAGTGGTGGTAAAAATGTATTCGTTTTTACTAAAGAAATGTATTTATGTATTATTTGTATGATGCAAAATTATTTTTTGAAATTGCAGTCATATGGAGTTGTCCAGAATAGGGAATGGGGAGGACAGAGAGCTTACAAACAAGATCATATAAGTCTGTTGGGTAACCACAGTATTTATAAAGTTTTTATAAGTCTTGCAGAGGAGAAATAAGATTTCTAAGATATAATGTATTGGGTTTTATAAGCTCTGATTATACCAGAACAATTCTGAAGTCCTTATGAGTTCTGAGCTTTGTACTGACTTCTTTATTTTCATCTGCAAAACTTCAGACGAAAGATCTTGGATGGATCTTGAGATTATCATGTTAAGCAAAGTAAGTCAGATAGAAAGGTTGAGAACCATGTGATTTTACTTGTATGTGAAATATAAAACTGAAAGCAACAAACTAATAAGACAAACAAATAGAGATTCATGGACACGGACAATAGTTTAGTGGTTACCACAGGGA